ATTAGAGGCAGTTACCTTAATGAGGCAGGACTCAATTTACAACATTAGGTTGTATCTTAAATCAATCTCTTTCGAGATATAAAAGAGAGAAGCAAGCAGAGAGACATGGGGAACCTCATACCACCAAGAAAGCAGTGCCGGGGCACAGCGCATCCTTTGGACATGGGGTTCCTGCACTGAGAAGCTCCTAGATCAGGGGAAGATTGATGACAAGGACCTTCCTCCAGCGCTGACAGAGAAAGTCTTCCCCTGGAGCTGGCGCCTAGAATATGGACTTCTAGCCTCCTAGAATGTGAAAGAATACATTTCCCTTTGTTAAAGCCATCCACTTGTGGTATTGCTGTTACAGCAGCACTAGATAACTAAGACACACACACAGTGGGGAAACAGACACCAAGGAACACCAAGGAACTCCCAAGGCTACTGATAAGGAAGGACCTCCCCTTAGAGCTACGCCTTGATTTCGGACTTCCAGCCTCCTGAACTGAGAGAAAATAATTATCTGTTCTTTAAAGCCACCCACTTGTATTTCTGTTACATCACCCTAGGAGATTAAGACAGGTAGATTTTGTCTCTGATCTTAAAGTAGGTGATGCGTCTGGGAGTGGGGACCCCTGGTCTCAGGAGATCCTCCTGAATCTATGTGAGTAGCATCAACATGGCGGCCAGGACAGACTCCAACTCACCATCTTTATGATGCTTGAGGGCTGTGAAGAATACACTCCGCTCTGATTAAAGTCTATTCTGATTAAAGTCACATCAACCAGTAGAGAGAGAGAGAGCATTATAGGATACACAGAACATGGCTTCAATCACACCCACACTGTGAAAGTGTTTGCCTGCTATTTTTACTTACCTGAACTCTTAATACTGGTGATTTATAGTATAAGACATTATTGCCTAAATGTCATGTTTTCGTCTGATTCTTAACATATCAAAATTTGCCCAGAGGTTTATGAAAAATCTGTTTATACAAACTAAGTAGCCGCAAGTCCACTCCTGCCTCTGGATTCTATGAGTCCCTTCCCAACACCAGTCCCAGCCCAGGCTGTTGTTGTGTGCTGCTGAGTCAGTTTTGACTCA